CTCCACTACAAAGCATAGCAAGACTCTCTGCAGCACATACACACACTGCAGAGAAACACACTCTCACACACACACACCACACCCACAGATCCACTTCCCCACCTCCAGTGCTTGAAGATCTACCTGCCAGCTGCTGCCAGTCGCTGGGAAAGATGGGCTTTGTTGGTTTTGTGAAGCCCACCGACAAGACCCCCCTGGAGACTGCAGGTCTCCAGCAGCACAAGCCTCAGCCTTATCCACTTCGCCGCACAGGCAATCTGTTTTCTATATTACCAGCCTGTATCACTGTACTATGCACTATAGAACAGCAATTGAGCAGGAAATTAAGTTAGGGGATCGGTATTTGGCGAAGGAGAACGAGCTGGTGTGGTCTTCCCTCTCCACATACAAGGATCATTAAATATCACATGAGTTTCTTGATAAATTTCCTCTTCTCCTCTCTCTGCTGTTCCCATCAACTCACTCCCCTCTTCCTTCTCTTTCTTCTTTCATCTTTCAGTCTCTTTTCTTTCTTCCTCAATTTCCCTCTCATCATCTGCCCGCTTCTCTTTCGTCTTGCTGTATTTGTAGTGGGTATGAAACAAAACATCCTAATGGATGTTTGAACAGCTTGAGATGTGTCGGCCTGGGAAGTACCTCCCTGTGACAGGGAGCTCTGCCAGGGAATTGAGACCATTACAAGAGGAAAATAAGGGACATATTTCTTTCTTTTCCTCTTTGTTTCTTTCTTTTCCTCTCTCTGGGTCCGTTTCTGTAGTTCCCCCTTCTATCTGTCTATTTTCTCTCATTATACCTCTGCGCATACAACAGAGGAAAGAATCTATGCTCTTTATGGATTAGCAGATGTGTAGGAACTGGTATTTGCTGTGTCTTACCTCTCCTTCTCTCCCCCTGTCCTCCTCTGCCTTTCTCCTAGAGTTTTGTTTTCAAAGTGTGACTATGCAAATGTAAGAAGTTAGTGAGTGAAGGAAATTACAGTAAGAGCGAGAACAAGCTAGGCCAGTACATCACTATTCAAAACCGTAATATTTAAAGTACCTTCTACTGGAGTTATGGCAGTTCTGAAGAGACAAATGAATATTAGTGTGCACATGGACACACAACAAATTGTGTCTTACTATAATTGTGGGAACATTCATTGATACAATGCTTTCCCTAACCCCTTGCTCTAATCTCAACCATCATAGCTATGTCAAACCCAAATCCTTATCCTAACCCCAACATAAACCTAATTGTAACCTTAACCCTAAACCAAGTCTTGACCCTCAAAGCCCTATGAAGTTGTAAGGCTAAAATCTCCTCCTTATAACAATGGCATTGGAAAGAATGGTCTGCACAATGTAATAAAGACATGTGCACATACACACACATTTCTTTTTCCTGTGTGAATTCTCAGTTTTATTTTATAGCACAAAAATGACTTGTTATTTCTTTTATTAACTTCTTAATCATAAACCTCATTACCAAGCTAATAATTACCTTACATTTCAAATTACTTTTAGGTTAATTTTGGGTATTCAAATGCCCTAGATCTTAACTTAGTAATGAAATGTGCATTCATAGAGGACAATGATTGCATTGCTTCCTCTCCACACTTTTAGGATAATTTTATTTGGCATCTTTGAGTGGACCGCATCCTGTCCTCCTCCAGCTTCTCTCTTCCGTGTTTGTTTTGTTGCCCCAGGTTTGAGATCAAATCATCCTTTTACTTCATCAGTTGTTCTCCCTTCTCCTTATACACTGAATGACAAAGAGCACCCATGTGTCTTTATTGTTTTATTTTTTTATTCGCTACCGATGCTACTAAATATGGCAGCTCATTCCTTCTTCTCCACTTTATAACTAACTCAAGTTTTTCTTTGGCTTGGAATTCATTGCTCCAACATCTTTACACTTTTGTTGTAGCATTCCTGGCTTTCTCAACTTTTCTTTTCCGTTTTTGTGTGAGTCCTGTGTGCACGCAGCCCTGCAGTCTCATGCCCTTTTATGGGCACTGGTGAGGTGTTAACCTATGCTAATTAGGAATGATTGGCATGCGCTTTCACTTCACAAACACATGGCATTCATCAATATAAGAACAGGTGTGAACAATTTTGCGGTTTAAGAACGTGTTCATGAATCAGATGAAGGCTTTTCTTTGGATCCTTTGGATCGTAAGAACAACTTATGAACAAATTTAAGAAAACACTTAGGAAGATGATGGAGAATGAGATGCCATGTTACAGCACAGACTTGAAAGCATATATATATATATAAAACTGTGGAGGTAAATTTATGACCACCACTGGCCAAATAGAACACACGCAGCACACACAGTCTATGCAGTGGTCAGGTTAGTGGGAAGCAGTCAGAGAGATAAGGTGCCAAACAGGTCTAAATCCCTCCTGAAGCAGCCATGATGGACAGACAGGCCACCATTAACAATGTGGTAGCTTGTGAGAGCAGTAGCTGATGGAAAGATACCCTGGCATTTGCTGTGTTAAGAAGTGCCCCTTAAAGATTTCACACTTCCAATTTCTTTGAATTATCTGCCATCTCCAGGCTGTCACTCAGCCTGACAATCTCAGATTCTTGCTCAGTGAGGCACCGGGATGGTTATTGACAAAACAATCTGCCGCGATACAGCAAAGTCTGATAAAACATTAGTCAAACAACACGATGAACGCTAGACCCACCTCACATATGGATGTATAAATGGATGCTCACACTTTTTTTTCAGTTTTCCCTATAAAGAGATTTGTGTTCATCTGTAGTACAATAATGAACACAATATATTCAGTAGAGTTTTAGTACAATATAATGTTGTTCTCAGGATTGTCAAACATGGTGCTGGACTCACATGTGCCTGTGTATTTGTGCAATACCTTAAGTTACTGATTTGATGTGACTTCAAACTCTGTGACAACCTAACAGAATTTCCTCCATGTATCACTATTTGCTAGACTGTAGCATACGGAGCAGAATGGATTTGTTAAGGTTCACCTAAGGCTGTGATGACAGCCAGTGCTGTTTTGACATTGAACAGACTGCTTATCAGATCTTTACTGGTTTGATACGCTCGCTGCTCAGAACAGGCCATGATAGAAATATCACAACATACCCATTATCCTCAGCATTCAGTACATAGTGCACAGCCTGTGCTTTCTATGAATTATTGAAAGCAGACAGATTATGCTGCAAGGCTGGAAGTCTAGAGGCATGCTACAGATGCTGCTGAGCAAAACAGTAACATCAGAGGTGTGTTTTTGTTCCTTATTTTTGGTTAGAGAAGGGGTTTCTTAAGAGGTTTGAATCAGATGAGGGGGGTGGCCGTGTGGATAGGCGAATCAGTATGTGGACAAGAAAAAACAGTGGGTGGGGTTTGGACATGTGTGTATGCCTGTGCACGAGTGAGCATGTTGCAAAGGACTGGGGGCTGGGGGTGAAGGGCATAGTGTCAGGGCTTGTCTGACATGTGGCCTGGTGGGTTGGCTGGCTGGTTGCTTTGCTGTCTAGATGGCTGGTTGGGTGCAGCCCAGCTCAAGCCTGGCAACTCTCTCTCTCTCTCTCTCTCTCTCTGTGTGTATCTCTCTCTCCCTGGAGTAGGGGGCTGAGACATTAAGACAGGCGTTTTAATTAACAGTGCCACTCTTCCACCTGCTGCCCTCAATATGCTCCGGCCCAGGCAAGCTGTCTCTCATACCAATGACTCTCTTGGTCTCTTTTGGTCCATCTTTCCAATCTCTCTATCATTTCTCAACTCTCTTCTCTCCTTTCTCTCTCTTTATGTCCAATTTTTAAATCTCTTCCTCCAATAATCCAACTTGCTCCCCATTTTCTATCCCTCTTGCATCCCTCCACTGTTTGACCCTATTAAATGAAAGCTCATACCAATAGATAAGATGATTTCCATGAGGCTCATATGACAGAATTAGCCAATTTATATTTTGAACTTGGAAAGAATTAATTTCTACATGTGTCTTGTTCTACTGACCCCCCCTCACCTATCATACACATACACTTTCGTGCTCTCCAAATCTATCTGGTAATTCAGTTCTGCCCGACACTCATCAGGCTATTCATTAAGGCCTGATTGGAGATAGATATTTCTACTCCCTCATGACAGAATGGAGCTAGGGATCAAACTGGGGACATTACAGGATTTAGAAGAGCAAATGCAACACACAGCTGCTTTGTGTGTGTCTGAACACTTGGACAAGTCTGTGCGAATATTTACTCGTAAATGTTCATATTAACGTGTGTAAACCTGTGGTTGGTAGTTTAACAATCTAATTTAGTGTTGTGACTTCTATAGTTTAATCATTTAGATCATAAATTGAGAATTAATTCGAACAGAACGAAGCAACAAATGATCTACTTTTAGCACTCTACTGAAATTGTATTACACTTTTAATGGGGTTAATAATGGACAACATTAGAAACACAGGAAATGACTCTACAAAGTGTTGTATTACAAAGATTAATGTCCTCCTTTCAGAATTAAAGCCAGGTCTTGGAGATACAGTTAAAACTAACAAATGACCCAGCTCTAGCTCCATGATGGGGCCTCAGCCGTAGCCATACTACAGCAGGAAGACAGCAACTGGGGCCAATATATCAGCCAGGGGAGACAGGGAGCATTCATCTGCTGTGTGAGGAGAAGTGACTTTGAAGTTCTCTGCAGTGAGGTGAAAGAGCAGCTGCGGCCTCAACCTCTGCGTTGATGTAGCCGCACTACCCCTGGGAGAACTCTTAGTGAATGATGTGGATAGATGGGCACCGCAGCTAAAAGCACACACTCACATGTCCGTGTGAGGGCCAAGACGCACACCGAGGATTTCCAAATAGTCTATGCTAAGGCTGTGGAAATGTATGCTACATGCCAGCACATTCCCTGTGTCTGCATGTACTATGAACAAAAAAATTCATAGAACAGCAGGAAGAAAGTACTGCTAGATTCAGTAAATGTCTGTATTATGCTGTTTTGCACAAAGAGATTTCAGACATGAGCAGAGACTAACCGGTGAGCAGCAGGCTATGCCAACATCCTCCAGCAATGTCTCTTACTGGTAAGCTCGGTAGTGCCACTTCCTCTGGGAATAGGATGTTCTTTTTTATGTTCCCACATGCCCGTCCACAGCCCCACTGAAACAACCTGCCCCCACCTGCATGTCAAAGAAAACATTAATAATGTTTCCAATTTAAGAAAATAAGTAATGCTCAACAGATTATTTCTGTAAATAGTATATATAATATTTCAATGCAACATTCAAGACTTGTAACTTTGTCATGTCAAAATAAATGTAATACTGTACACTATGGTATTCTCATGTAATGTGATACTATCAGCTGATAGAAGATGCTTTGGCCCCTTTAAGGTTCCTCCATTAATTGTAAAGTGGAGCAGCAGCCGCTAACCCCCTGCAGCTCATTGTGTATGTCTCTCTCTAGCACACCTCTAGGAGCATGTTGTCCTTGTTGTGCTATGGCTGCATGGGGTGTCTGGTGATAAATTATGGATGCAACGCAAAAGCTGTAAAATTTGTTGTATCTTCTATTATCTTCATGTTAAAGGCCACAAAAGCTCTTCAGTGAAGTCAGCCATTAAGAAATGACAGGTATTGCTATCAGGCTTCTTTATAGCCTATTACCTGCAATGACAGCAGCTGCTGCTGCACCACTGTACGGCCTATCACATTATTTGCAGCTAAAGTCAGCTACTGTGTCATTTCGCCTCATTTTCTTGACAGTGCTATCATAAATCCATTGGGCTGCAGGGGAAACTGTCGACTACCTCGATTATCTTCATAGCCTGAATGAATTCTGAAATGTATGTAACAGGCAATGACTGTTATGGATCAGGAATCAGGGCCATATTCCCACTAACTCTCTCTCTCTCTCTCCTTCCTTGTCTTTCTCTCAGGTGATGTGCTGATCGAGGGCTTCAGGGCTCCGATATTCACATAAAATGGAGTAAAATAGGTGAACTCTGAATCAGTAATAGCTTCTAACTTCTAACTAATACTATTGTTTAGCTGATTTGTACTGGTGTGTTTTTTGAAAAAACAGCCAACCATAGGGAGCATAGTAAAGACATAGCAATTATAAATGGCTGCATTTAAAAAAAAAGGCAAATATTTTAATCATTTATATAATGATCACATGGTGTGTACCATAGAAGGCCTGCACAGGGCATTACTGTACCTGTCAGTGCAAGACTGTGGTTTGCCCCACAGGTGACCTTTGACACGTGGCTCACAGACTCCACAAAGCGAGGAATGACCACATTTTCATTAGAACCACTGCCAATTTGTCCATAATCATTCTGCCTATAGGGAGAGGAGTAGAAACACATAATTACAAACTTGCAAGGATCATTTTCACACCCTTCTGTCCCATTTAAAACTTCATACGACACCTTTTCAAAGCATAAAAATATTGTACACCTTTCAATTTTGATAAAGAAAAATAAATAATCAAATCAAATTAACTATTGCAGTGAACAAGTTCCACTGGGGACTGTGGAACATATGCGTTTCCTCCCATTTCTATGAATCCTCTTTGTGGCAATAACGAGACACAGGCCTATCAGAAGTGAAACACCTCACTAACTAATTAGACTCTCAGGCTGCAGTCTGACAAAATAAAAAGAGAAAAGTGCTTGAAGGAAGACTTACTCTCCTTGCAATTTGCATCTGCCACTTTTTACTGCATCTGTTCCAAGTGCCATTCAACGTTCTCGTCCTCCTTTTGTTGAGAAGTGTTGAGCCCCAACTATTTAAGCTCACCTCCTACCTACCCAAAGCTTTGTTCCTGCTCCTCTGCAGACCAGTAATGAGCCAACCACCACAAAACCACTAGGAAATTAATGACTCATTACGGACAGGGCCTAGACTGCCTCACAGCCTCTTCTCCATCGCTCAACCCCACATGCCCACATGTAATCCTCTCTCTCTCTCTCTCCCTCTTTCTCTATCTTACTCTCATCCCTTCAGCCCATACAGAAAGACCCGAACACCTCCCTGTCAATTAGAGCCTATTACAGAGCTCCCATGCTAGCAGGGCAAAGAAAGAGGGCCTTCACAGCTCAAGAGTGCATGCAGGAGAGATTGGGAGAGTTGAATGAGGAGCCTTAAGGTGCTCCTTTCACACTCTTGCCCTTATCCATTATGCCAGTCTGTGGAGCCTCCTAGGAGAAACGTGCAGCCCCCAAAAGACTTGGGGATGAAAATAAGACGAGAGAGGGATTCTTGGTCACACCTTTCCTATTTTTTTTCCAACTCCACTGTCAAATTATATCATAACTAGTCCTTTAGGGAAGCAACATGGTCACTGTGCTCCTCTTTTAAATGGAGTGTTAAAAAAAGGTGGGGAGATCTGGTATGGTATGTATTAATCATACCATCTGTGTCTGTATTCATAAATGGACAGACTGAAACCGTTATTAACAAAATAAAGCAAGTAGTGGACAAGCACCTACACATGAAAATTCATGTGCTTATCGATTTCTTTCAGTTTCACTCCCCTTTAACACTGCATTCCCCCAGGCAATACCTACTTATTCATGGGACTGTTGGTCTTTGTTCAGAGCAAGAAAATACTGTTCTACATTGCCAGCATTTTAGAATATTTTTTCTTTTTTGTCCTTGATAGGATATGTATCAGCTTTTCACTCTAGCACGCTATGCTCATTGGCTTTTGAAGCTATGGTGCGTTTCAAGGCAATCCCTCTGAGAGTGAATGGGTGAGATCACATGGGTTTGAGGTGGTTTAG